AACTGACTTCGGACCAAGGACAGGAGAAGAAGGGCAGGGAACAAGGGCAGTCTTCGCAGCAAAGAGTGCAGAAACAATTAAGGATATATTTGAAAAAAAAAGGAAAGAATCCTAGCTCCTACTGATCACCACACACAAAAGTTAGCTCATAATTAAATCACAGACCTAACTATAACCTTAAAACTACAAAATTTCCAGAAGAAAATATAGGAATAGATCCTTGTGATCTGGGGTTGGGCAGAGGTTTCTTAAACATAAAAGGTACAATCTATATAATTTAATAAGAAAGCAACACAAGTTTTTTTTCTTAAAATGTGCAAAACATCCAGGCATGGTGACACATGCCTACAAGTCAGTCACTTGGCAGGCTATCACGGGAGGATCTCAAGTTGGAGACCAGTCTGGAAAACTTAATGACACCCTGTCTCAAAACAAAAATAAAGAGGGTCTAATAAAATAGCTTAATGACAGAGAGCTTGCCCAGTAAGCACTAGGCCCTAGTTTCAGTCCCAGTATTGAGATAGGACAGAAGAAATAAAAACTAGGTTAAAAGGAGACAAATCAAGGTTTTTAAAGTTACACTTCTAAGAAAAACTGCAGCTTCAAGACAAGCTTTTTTCTTGCTTCTACAGGCCACCCTAGCTTGTGACCTCTTCCTTCTGTTGTTACAAAAACTAGTGTTAAACTCCTAAAGGTCCTTTTAGCCTGTAAATTACACCTACAAATTATTCTTTCCTCCAGCCCAGGAAACGGCTGTTTTGGACAGCACATCTCAACTTCAAACATTACCTTGACTTTATTGGCTTGCAGCAATATGACAGCGAGAATACACATCCTAGATCACCTGCCTCGAAGACATCCCTCTGAAGACATCCCTTTAAAATGTGCCCTGTCAAGCTTATAATGTGTTCTCATTTTTCTGAGCACTTGTACTCCACCCTTGAGTGTGTTCTATATCTCCATCTAATAAACCTTCTCGTCTCTTATACTAACATGTCTTCAAAACTCTTTTGACCATGATGAGAGGTCAGCAAATCCTCAAACTTATTTTTAAAGGATGGGTCACATTCTTTCTTTCAGCCTCAGGAACCTCAAGACCCATCCCAGCCCAGTGACAGTACCAGGGAGGATAGGGGACAACAAAATGAGATACTGCTTCATCTCACTGGAATGGCTTATGCTAAAAAGACTCAGGGTGCCAAGAACTGCCGAGTATGTGAAGGAACTAGAATCTCACGCACTGTTGGTGAGAATATAAAGTGATATCATCACTGGAGAAAATAGCCTGGCAAGTTCTTAGGTCAACATATATCTATCATACCATCCAGCTAGTCTAGTAGGTCCTCACCCAAGAGAAATAAAAGCCTGTGTCCCTGTGAAGAGCATGCTAACGTTCATAGCAGCTGTATGCGTAGTAGCCTCAAATGAGAAACAACCCAAATGACCATCAGCAGGAGAATGGAGAAATGGGATTACCCACACGAGGAAACAGTTCAACCATGCAAGCCAATAGTTACTGATACAACATGAATGAATTTTAAATAATTTTGTGTGAAAGGAGATAGATGAAAGGAGAGACATGCTAGGTGATTCTATTAATACAAAACTCAACGAATGGATTGCAAACTAATGCACAGATGCACATCGGATGATAAATGAATACTTTGGTGGTTGCATGGGGACTGGAAAGTGGGAAACAGAGATAGAAAAAGGACATGAGAGACTTGGGGTTTGTGGATACATTCATTGTTTGGGGTGATTGTCTTGTGAGTTTCATAAATTTCTCAAAACTTACGAAATTGTGCTCTTTATGTCAGTCATATCCCCAAATTGCTACTTAAAAAAGAAAACCTTTGAGTCTGCTTCAAGATTAAGCTGTCTCAAAACTTTCAATGTGGGTCAGAACTGCCTCCAATCCAGTAAATGATACTTCTTGAAACTTCTGTTGCCATGATTTGCCTAACATGACTCTGGCTCCTTTCTCAACCACAGCCTTCCCTTTTTCTTGGTTTTCTCTCCTGGTTCTTATCCATTTCCTCAGGTCTTAAATCAGAACATTCCTTAAGGCTCGGCTCCCCTTGACGTCATGTACACTCCCTCTCCAGCCACCATCCAAACACTGACAAATCCCGAATCCACAATCTAAGTCTGGTCCTCTCCTCTGAATCCCACACGCCACCAGGCTCCTGCTGAGAGCGAGCTCCACCCCACTCTCTGTGTGGTGCCTGCAAAATTCCCCATCTCCTCCGCCCGTCAGGCAGCCCAGCCTGCGTTCTGGCCTCAGCCACAGCTCCATCAAGCCAGCCCTGGCACAGTGTTGGAAGGGCATGGGCGCTGGATTAGAACCCCAGTGTTGTCACCTACTAGATATGTGCCCTCTCTTCATTTGTACAGTGAGTGTGTCTACTCTCCGTAAGATTACTGTGCGGATTAAAGACAATAAAACAAACATAAACATTTATATAGAGCCTGACAGAGTACGTGCTCAATGACTGTTTACATCACTGGTGAAATCTACCGTTCTCCGTTTGTTCTCTTCATCTCTGCAGCCTGTCTCCCACCCCCTTTCCCTCCGCCATCTCCTAGCTCAGACTACATTTTGTTTAGGAAGTCTACTCTCACCTCTTACTTCCTTTAATGCCTCCTAAACCTATATCAGATCACACACTTCTGTGATCAAAGACCTTTGATTGGTTCCTCTGGTCCAAATAGCATAGGCATTAACAGGGCCTCTGAGTCTACAAGCTTTGAGGCCACCCCTTTGCCCATCTTCAGCTCTGCAGACTCTGACCTGAACCTGAATCGCTCAGCTCCTCAGTTCTTCCCCAGCCAGCCAGGCCTCCAGCTTAGCTCAGAAGCTGTTTAATGAATCCCCCAATTCCTTGTCTGGGATTAACTGTGCTTTGTTTGTATGTTGATGTGGGAGCTAACAGTGTTGTCATTTGTACACTTCGTCTCTTTCCCTTGCTTACCTCAGCCTAGGCATTCAAGGGAGCCATACGGAATGGAGCGAAAGAGGAACAAAGAACTTGACAGGCAGGCTGCCTGACATCTCCCTGGTAATGTCACCTGCTCAGGAGGTCCTCTGAAGACTGACACTTTACAAGTTAGCAATTTGTTGGCGCTTGAAGAACACTAGAGAGCCATCTCAGCAGACGGCACGTGAAAATCGCAGCTGCACCCCTACTCATGGCTTTGAGGGGTGCATGAACGGGAGCAAATAAAGTGTAAAACAGCAAACTTAATCTTGGGTGTTTTACAGATCCCGTCTGAAATTGAGATGCTTACTCTCTGCTCAGGAATGCCAGGCAAGCACCCCAGAGACCCGTCCAGGGTGACTCTGTGAACTCGGCCGCAGACTCCACAGCTGGACTAAGCCTCTGCACGGCTGCATGAAGACCTTGACACAGGAACCCAGAGACACTGACAGCCGCTCACCTGCTGTAGACTGCCAGATGCTCACCAGCCAGCTCCCAAGGGCAGTGGGGACAGGGCGAGGATGCAAGGGGGAGAATGAGGCCCAGACCCTGGCTGCCCTCTCCCTCAACATTTCCCAAGTTCTCCAGGGGGTCCTTTGAACAGTGGAATGATACCTTCAGGTAGTTTGAGTCACTGGGCCAATAACTGGAACTTTTCCACCAAAACAGTTAAAGGCTACTCAATACAGGCAAGTCACTGTCAGGGTACAGATTTTCTTTTTCCTGAAACTCTGGAGCTGGCACACAACCCACAGGACTGTCCCTGAGGGCCATGGGAAGTGTGTATAGCACAGAGCTGAGTGTGCAAGCAGAGGCTGCAGCAAAGACTTGAGGTAACAAGGGAGGTGAGAAAGGGATCCATCTCTACCACCACAGCACTGTCACTGTGCCAATTTCTCATCTCCTCCACTCACAGAGGAAACAGGTCTGTGACTCCCTCCCTGTGCTCACCCAGCATTTAGTCCAGAGCATCGTTCCTATGGGACTGTCTGCTGGACCAATGAACAAATCAGTGCACCCTTCAGAGGTCTTCTCACATGCGGTAAGTGTCTCTTTCCCCCTTTCTTGGCATTGGTGGTGAGGCAGGATATAAAAATATCAAGAAAGGTGACAAAGAAAATTGCAATATTCAAATTGTGCTTTTAAAGAAAAACTACATTTCAGGACAAAATTTATTCAAGCTTTTTTCCACTTCCAGGAAAAGTTCTTAAGGTCTTTAAGGATAATAAACCTAAAAACTAGGCCCAGGGCCTGGGCCTTCCGCCTGTAAACTGTATTCCTCAGAAAGTGAGCTTTCTTACCACAGATCTCAGCTTCAGACACGTGGTTTGTGTTTTAACACAGGCCACCAAAAGGGCAAAACCCAGCAGACATGAGAATACACCTCTTCGATCATCCATCTTGAGACACCCCCAAACCCTGTCAAATATGGCCAGCTCCGCCACAAGATACCTCTTTCCCTCTTGAGAGTCTGCACTGTATTTCTTTCTTTCTTTTTTTTTTTTTTAACTGAGGCTTGAGGCAGGGGGCGGAACCACCACTGAGCTAAATCCCTGGCCCTTGCACTGCATTTGAGTGTGTACTTGGAAATTCTTCCTCACAAATCCCTTTATGCCTCTTACTGGCCTCACTGAGAATTCTTTTTCTGAGGTGGAAGTAGGTGACCTGCAACCTGCCCCATGGGTAGGGTGAGTCAGGGGTTCCCCATCCCCACTTGCGCAACTTCCTTGGGACCTGTCCGGGGACGGGTGGCATCGTTAGGGATGGTAAAAACTATACATTTTTCCAGATGTAGGGACATTAGGATAACTAGTAAGTAATTTCAGACCCTGAAATTAGGAACCACCATAAAAATTCTTCCTGCAGGGGTACACAGGAGGAATGCACATTAACAAGGGGCTGCTTCAAGTCAGGCACTTTGCACTCTGGATAAACTGAACAGAGAAATTTCAAACCACCTCTGCCAGCTAGAAGAGTTGGGGAGACTGGCTTTCTGAGTCCTTTCCACTTTGTGACCAAGTTACAGAGTAACCCGCCAGCAACCCTCTCAGAATCCACCAGGCTATTTAAATAGAGCAAAGTCCACCTGGAGTTCTCCGGAGCTGGGCTGAGAGAAGACCAGGGCCCGGGCAGGAGGTAACTGAGGATCCCAGCTCTGTCTCCCAGCCCTGGTCCTGGGTCCCCACAGCATCCATGCAGTCAGCAGTGAGCCCTGTGCTGTCTGCCTTCATGAGCGAGCTCCCCAGCTGGCTCCTGTTCGTGGGGGGCTTCCTGCCTGTGGCTTTGCTGCTTTTCCTCCTGATCGCCTGCTTCAGGGTCCACCTGATGGAGGGTGAGTATGACACTGCCCAGGCAGGGCTCAGTGTCCTTTCCCACTGCAACAAACCTTCAAGACATGCGCCTCTGCCAGGCCTGGGAGACATAGTATCACTGTCACTCAGCCCTGTCTTCCAAGGCCTCAGTGCACCAGGGGCAGTGGCCCTGAGCACTGTACACTGTGTGCCAGAGGAGAGGCATTAGCTGGAGCAGTAACCAGCAACTTGGCTTCCTCTCCTGTCCTTGAGGGGAAAGACTTGGAAACATTAAAACATTATTTGTGGTCTGCCTTCTGCATGGGACAGGGGTGTGTGTGTGTGTGTGTGTGTGTGTGCGTTCCCATGTGTCTACAGTCATCACTGTGTAGACATGCTGCTTTCTTATCCACTGACCTTCCCACACAAGAAATGTTACAAACATCATGTGATCACAATGTTTGGCAAATGCAAACCCCTAATGAATAGATACTTAGGTAAAAACTCCCTGTGAGCACAGAGTATTTAGGTGAGAAAGAAAGGAGGGAGGTAAGAGAGGCAGGAGGGAGGGAGAAAGCTTACAGTTTCTTGGAAGGGCCATTTGGCCAAAGGCTATGCTGTTAAAATTAATGGAACTAGGTTGTGATTAGATAGACTCTATGCTAATTCTGTTTGTTTGTTTTGGGTACTGGGGATCGAACTTCGGACCTTGTGCTTTCCAGGCAGGTAGCAAAACCACTGAGCTAAAACTCCAGCCATGTATGCTAATTCTGTACCCAGTAAATATAAGATATCATAGTGGTTAATCACTATTTTAGGAATATCAATAAAAATCAGTCTATTTTCTTAATTTGGGTGGTGTCATACAAACCACCAAAAAACTAATTTTGAAAACCTCTCATCTTCTCCAAAACTTGCAAAGTTCAAGCAATGTCTTTGTATATGTTCCTATGTAAACAGAGGTTCAGAATCTTTGCGTTGATGCCCTAATATATATATTCTAAAGTTGAATGGCAGAGAAATTAGGGATATCTATGTCCGTGATGAGAATTAGAACACAAAGAAACCCTAGAGGACAAAGACTATGTCACAGAGTCCCAAGTCTTGCATTATAATTACTCTGACACCCAACAGCCTTTCATTTTGTGTGCGTCCATTTTTACGAACAGCTCCCCTGTTGGGTGATTAAACTATATTCTGTGTCACTCTTGTGGGATTCGTGTTAAAATCCTTCTCTTTATTAAGTCAGTTCATCTTCCATGCCCCAAGACCAGCCTGCTGGATTTTCTGCTAACCCAGCTAACTATAATCATTTTACATTAGAAAAGGAAAATCAGAAATCTCCAAGGTCATGGCTACAGCTCTCCTTCAGCCTTCCAAGTTGGTTTAATACCCAGCTACTTCAAGTATTTCCATGCCGACCTTTCACAGCTGTAGTAACCACTGTCAGTTGTACATATGGGGGCTTCCACTGACACCGAGGACCCAGGGGAAAAAAGGGTGTGGACGTCGCTGTTGGGAATTTGAACACTTCATGTCTTTCCCAAGTTCTGTCTCTAGCTACTTCCTTGGCAAGATAAAACTTTAGTATCGCAAAAGAAAAATGAATAAATTCTTTTTCTGAGATGGAAGTAGGTGAATTTATTCATGCTCCTGTCCTTGAGGAGAAAGACTTGGAAACATTAAAACATTATTTGTGGTCTGCCTTCTACATGGGACAGGTGTGTGTGTGTGTGTGTGTGTGTGTGTTCCCATGCATCTACACTCATCACTGTGTAGACACACTGCTTTCTCATCCAATGACCTTCCATACAGGAAATATTACAAACATTGTGGGATCACAATGTTTGGAAAATGTAAATGAATTTATATGAGCATGAATAAATTCAAGATAGCTTCATGGGTTTCAAAGATTCACTGGGCTCTGCTTACCAGTTATTATAGATCAGATAATTTAGTGGGACATCTGATATTTGGGACAGGTGGCCAAAGAGGATGGATCTGGGTTTGAAAGCTTTATTTATCCCTGGGAAAACATCTGTAGTATGTACCTAAGTGAGTTTACAGTACTTTCTTTAGATCATTCTGCAGTATAAGCATATCAGGGGATTTCAGAACACCCTGAAAAGTTCAGCTGCAGTCTTAAGTATAACCTGTCATCCAGAGGGCTGGTACAGGGTCATGAAAGCAAAGTGCCACTCCATGCCCAGCCCCAGGAAGTGCCCAAAGTGTACAGCGATTATTTGTACAGTGGTCCCTTCTGGCTTCAACACAGTCCTGCCCAGGAGAGCTGACCAGAGACCAAATTACAGGCAAAAACTACAAACTTGAGTTTTAGTTCTATAAAATTAGAACTGCCAATGAAGGATCTCAGTGAAGAGAACAGAAGGCCCCAAAGAAACCTCCCTCCATTCTTCCTTCTCTCTTCCCCACTCCAGATTCTGACATGCAGATGAGCTCGCCTCACAACTGTGAGTCCGTTCCTTCCCCTAAAAGCCTTGATTTTTTGCAGCATAGGATCTAGCCCACGGGACAGCAAGGCATTAGCCTCACATGATGAGGGCCTGTGCTTTCTGGGGAGAGTCCTTCAACCAATTTTAAAGCTTTCTGCAAACTTGCATCACACTTCTGCATCATAATAGTTTTCATTCACTCATTTAACAAATACCTGTGAATGTACCTACCTTAGTCTGTTTTCTTTCTCTATAACTAAATACCAGAGACTGGGTAATTTATGAAGACATGAAATTAATGCCATACAATTCTAGAGTTTGGGAAGTCTTAAATTTAAGGGTCTGCATCTGGTGAGGGTCTTCTTTCCGGGGGGAACTCTCTCAACAGGATCTCAAGGCAGCACAGAGCATCCCCTGGGAGAAGCGTGTATCTGAGAGACAGAAACAAAATGATTAATTGTAAGAGACACCCCTCTCATTGTTCTGCTCATGAAGGCGGAGTTCTTGTGACATGATCATCTCCTACAGGTCACACCTGGTCCCACTTTCTATTTCTCAAGGAGACTGAATTCCAACATGGAGCTTGGTGGTGAACTGAACCTGAGCTCTACCATACACCAGGGACTGTCCTAGATACTGGGACAGACTTCTACTCTGGGCTTTCAGGACTGAAGGAAAACAGTGTCAGTTCTAGAAAACCACCAAAGGGGACTGGACTTGTGGCTCAGCAGTAGAATGCTTTTCCAGCAAGTGCACACCCAAGTTTCATCCTTAATGCTAAAAGAAATAAAGAAGAGAAAAAAGAAAGAAAAAGAAAACCATGAAAGGCATCTGACAAAAAGAATCATCAAAAGCTAGAGATGTTACAAGTCTGTTTCTGACTGTGGCCTCTGTCAGTAGCTGGTCAAAACACTGAAGAATGACCTACTCTTTCTCCTTTCCTGAATGTCAGATTGAACCCCCTCAGCAGAAGCAGGACTGTCTAAGTAGCTCAGGGGCACCCTCAGTAATGCACTGAGCCACCTTGTGCATTTTCAGCTACGTTTGCTGGCTCTCACTGAAATTTGCCGAGCTTCCAGGTTATATAGAGGAAGGAACTACAGGAGTCAGGATGTGGAGGCACCATTAATTGTGGCATAATAAAACTCTGTGCATTAGTCACTTAATGCATGGTACTTCTCATCTGAAGCTTGTTGTTTCAAAATGATTGTGCTTTCTGTTGCCATTTTCCTGAGGGGAAGTAGTAATACTTTCTCTGTAGGTTGAGAGCCAATGAAAATGGGCTCACATGGCCCAAAATAAAATATGACCAGTTTGTATCTCCGTTTAGCAACATTCACTTAAAAACTGTAAACAGATGGGCAAATGTCATGTCATTTATCTTCCAGCCAGGGCTGTGGCAAGTGTAATCATTCCTGTTTTGTCCCTGTAAAGAGAGGGACATTGACAGATTAACTGGTATGTTCACAGAGCCCCTGAGTCCTACATTCTAAAGCAGAAAACCAGCTTGCATCTCCCGTACATCCTGGACCATCAGACAAGAGAGCCATTTTAAGATGTGATGAAAAGCATGTGGAGACAATGTCATCATTCAACATTAATCCTTAGTCTTCAAGCCTTACGAGGTAACGGTGCATGTAAATTTAATTAGCAGGTAGAGAACATCAATTTCCTCACACAGGAAGAAAGAAAATTCTCTAACATCCTACACTCTCCAAGCTGTCAGTAGGCTCGAGAAATAGCTCTTAGGGTGGTCTGAGTCTTCGACTTTCCATGTCCTTACCTTTCACCAGCCAACCACTACCCACAAGTTACATCCCCTAAGGAAGTCTGGATTATGTCATAGCATCCCCCCTCTGCCCACTAAGTCCTGAGACCCCTAAAACTTCTTCTAATGCCTTCCAGCCCCCAAAATTCCATCAAAGAACAAATCATTCTCTAAAATAACCAAATTGCCCAAACTAGTATTTTTTAAATTGTGTCCATTGAATATCTTAAAATTTGTATAGGGTTAGATCCAAATAAGATAATGGATCAGGTTCTGGCCTTTTGCATTCTCAGACAACTGAAGTATTGAAACTATACAGGTGGCCTAAGCATTTTCAAATGTACATGTCAGTAGCAAGTAATCAAATAAGAAAAAATATAATTATTTGGAAAGAGCAGAGTGAACTAAGACTTAGCAGAGTAAAATTGTTAAGAACTTAGACTATGGAGTTAAGCCAAACAGAGTTTGAATTCCATGGTCTCTCAATCTTTTGAGAGCTTTCTAATCTGTAAGACAGAAATAGCTGCAGGATCAAGCTAGGGGCTTGGTGTGGGGCTTAAGTGAGGCTATACGCATGAGGTTCTTAACGGTGCCTGTTCTGAACAAGTGTTAATCATCATTCCCCTGCTAGCTTATGAATTCCAAGAAGGCAGTGATTGTGTCATTACAGTGACAGCTATTGTTAAAATTGTCTTAAAATAATTAAGCAAATCACCCTATTACTCACCTTGAAAGTAACAGGCAGGATCTCAGGCCTGGCTGGCTGACTCTAGAACTGGCCCTCTTGGCCGACACACTACTTCTGGACTAGTGACAACTGGATGTCGTATCTGCTGAATATGTGACTAACTTCAGAAATAACTGTGGGAGAATTTTAAGAAAGGTGTGAAATTTAAAAAAGCTTTGAAAGAGCTCATGAATGTATGAGAAGTATGTATGAATTTTCTGACGAGTAATTATTAGTATTAATGATGGTGATTCCTAACACAATGATCTATCCCTCAGTCAGATTGGATTTCTGTACTCAAGGCCCAATGGGGAAAACAAACCCCACTGTGCAGAATTTTCCACAAGAGCAAACGCTTGTTTTCAGGGCCACCTACCTGCCTAACCTCTCTCTGCAAGCCCTCAGCAGGCACACTGAAATAAAGCACTGGCCCAACTGCAAGCTCTTTTAGAGGAGGGTACGTTGTTTTACTTCCTTTGCTCTCTCCATGGTGCCTAGAACTGACACTTTACTCACTGGAGGGAGACTCAACTGTAGATGGAGGAGTTTCCTCTTATTCCCTCTGTTTCACTTCTCTGCTCTTACAGTTCTCTTCTTTCAACCTTATTATTCAGATCTCTCCTTTTCAGCTCGGCAATCTGTATTCTGGTTCCTTGTCCAAAGCACCTGGTGTTTCAATAGCCATTAGTTATTTAGAATAGAAAGGACGCCATCGTTCATATTTCGGTGAGTTCATAGTCTAAGCCATGGGCCATTTCCAAGGAGTACATCTGACACAGCAGTAAACTGTGGAAAGGTCTGTGAGAGCCATCCTGAAGGTGTGGACTCTGAAGCCAGACTGCCTGGGATCGAACCCTGAACCCATTGCTTTTTGTGGTCTTGGGAAAATTGCTTCATCCGCTCATCTTTAAATTAAAAATACAGTAAAGGTGACTAGCTTCTAATGTCATTGTGAGAGTTAGATGAGAAAAAAGAACACTGGTCTCTTTAGTTTTAAAAAAAAAAAGACGACTCATGCAAAAGGCTCCACATTGTATCTGGCACAAGCACTGGCTAGCAAATCCTGAGGCTCACGTAGCCAAGGGCTGTCACCATCTAAGTGTATGTAACTTCTGCTGAGTAAGATCAGCATTTTTAAAGGCCAGAAGAATCGAGGCCAGGAAGAGCGTGTGCCTCCCGGGGCACAGAGCATATAAAGTATTTGACAAGGGATGAATTGCATAGCTTTCACATGGGAGCCAAAGGTAACATTTCAGGTTTGATTTTACCAATGTGTTTATCACCCATGCAACTATAAAGTCCTGGTCTCTGGCTTGATTGGATTAATTGTAATTCTGAAAATAAAAATTTTGAAGGCAAAAGCAGGATCAGGATCAGTCGTGTCTTGGTGGCAGCCAGGAAGGGAGATGTGTTTTTTGATGTACCGGGAATATCCCAAGCAATACGCATTGAGATCTTAAGAGATTTGCAGGGCTAATTTGGTTATTACCAGAGATACTAGTTGAAGCTACAGAAGCAGCCAGGAGTTCACAGAAAGACGAAACATAACAAAAGGGGGGCAATGGGCAGAGAAGGGCCCTGTGTCAAATGCTACTCGAGAGGCAACTTGAGAATTAAAAAATGCCTATTTTGTAAATAGGAGTAATTAAGATGACATCGCGTTTTAATATTCTAGTAGCTTTAACTGACGTTATATTGTAAGGGGTTAAGGAATGTGTAGATTGTGAAAAGCTGCAAAGTTGTCAGTAAAAGGCTGCTAAAAGCTAAGAAGAAGACTGTTCGATTGAAACACTATTTAATGCTCAAATACACTCTGGAAAGGGGAGCAGGGGCAGAACTGTTTTACTCATTCCCATACTCCCATTCCTGGCCTATACATGTTTTTCAAAGGTTTACTGAATAAAAGGGTCTTAATCAACAAAATCTGAATTAGCCAGGTATGGTGGCCCATGCCTATAATCCCAGCACGTGGGAGGCTGAGGCAGGAGGACTGCTGTGAGTTGAAGACCAGCCTGGGCTACATAGTGAGACCCTGTCTCAAAAAAAAAAAAAAAAAAAATCTACTGAACGTATAAGATATACTTAGAATGTGACAATGTTCATGAAGTGGGCATTTGTCCACTCAGCAGGGCCATTTTTCAGAAGTGACTGAGCCCAAAGTTCCTTCAACAGTACCTGCCCTGAAGACCAGGGCTCTGTAACTCACTGGGGCCAATAGAGCCACAAACAGTGGCCAGCTGCCATTATGAGCTAAGGACCAATGGCACTTGACTGTCCCCAAATTATTAATCAGTATTTTTTTCTTTCAGTAAACAAAGAGCTGTCTCAGACTCCTGATGGCCAATCCATGGGGAAGGACTGCTCTTCCCTGTCCCAGCGAATGAAATGGAGGTGACTATTGGAACTGGTCAATGACTAAATCACAATGAACTTCTGACTGCAGACCAATGGTACACAGTTAAGCTAATAAAGTACACTGATAAACTAGAATGGCAGCAGGAGAATGCTAACATGGCTGTTCTGAGCCACACTGAAAATTATCAGATACTCTTTATCCAAATGGACTTCTGTGAGAATCAGCTTTAACAACCGCTTTCAGGAAGTGCCAAGAACATCAGATTTTCCTGGATATGCTCAATGGACTGGACACATGATGTTTTACTGTTATTTTAATTATATTTACTTTGAAAGGCATATTTTTAAAATGAAATTCTTGAACACCATTACTACCTAGTCCCACGGAAACCCACATTACTTTGATGTTAGAGGTGAGGAAACTGGTAGAGATCAAGTGAATAACAAAACATGAGTATCTTGAGAACTCCATGGATGACCCATGCAAGAGGCCTCCTGCTCACTCTGTTGACAGCTGAGCAGTGCTTACATGATGTCAGTTCAAAAATCATCACTGTGACAAAAGACAAGCAGAAACTACTCACCAATGTAGCTCTCAGCATGTGACTTGGAAACACTGACAATTTGGGGCTGGGAGAAGGAAAAGAGAACAGGATATTCACATTAATTCCCAAGGAGACTAATGCAAGACTTTGTCTGTAAAACCAAAGGGAAGCTATCCCTAAATATAGAAAGTAGTCAACACTTCACTAGAATTCTTTCAGTGGGAGTCGTACCTAAAAAGCCAACATAGACAATTGAAAAGGAGTATTTAATTCAAAGTGGTAGTTAAAACAGTTTATGGCTTTTATTGTTTTCCCCATTTTTTCTAGTTAACGGGAACAAAAGATGTTCAATACGACCTACATCTGGTTGTATTTCACTTTTCTCACACGATTCTACTAGAGTATTAGTGATTCACTTTATGAAATATATCTGGTCAACTGTAAGAAATGCACCAATTTTGGTAGTGACGCAGTCATGCAAAAGATTGTGTGGATGACAGAAAGCGAAAATGCCAATGCCAATATTTATTGCTTCTTCCCTTCAGTCCCACCCTAAAATTCTTCCCGTGTCGTGAGCAGTCTGCTTACACTTCGTGTAACATGACTCACCATCCAGCTGAAGGCACTTCTCCATATTACACTGTTCAATCACAATGCAAACGTCAGCCGGGACTTTCAGGCGGAGGTTAATTTGTAACAACCACATTCATGCCATATGGGAGGAATAACAGCTTCTTTCAGTTTGGGGAGGGATCTCTTTTTAGCCCCAGGCGGAATCGAGCTTGTGTAAAAGTGCTTTACCAGAAGGTGTGAAAGGACACCTCACATTCCCACCACAGGCAGGCAAATCTGGGGCTCAGTCACCAGGGTTTGCTCATCTTCCTCCAGAAACAGGCCCTTTGGAAGCCAGAGTTCTGGCTCTGGAGGCTGCCGCCCACCTTCTCAGTGACACTGCTAGCAGATGAGTCCTAAGCATGTATGTTCTCTTCAGCAAGCATAACCAAGCAGTTTAAAGACCTGTCTCCTCGGTTGCCACTGAATAAGGTGGGAGGAAAACACAGCCACTGAGTTGATCAAATTCGTGAGGTTTTTTTAACATAGTGGTTCACGAACATGTAAGCTTTCCCATGGAGAAAACAAGTCCCATGGACTCATTACCATATTTGAAAGGCACTGCTAGCAAATGTCAGCTGTCTGAGCACGGCCAAGGAGGTGCATGGTTACATTTCTGCTCCGTGTGCCCACAGGCTGTATCCATCCCTTCCACGCCTTCTGCCCAAGAGAGCTGCCTCCTTACCTTACCCTATACTCAGTTCCATCCTGTGCTCCAAAGATCTCATTAGGGATCACAGATTGTCTCACCACCTGAAACGGCCTCAACCCAACAGTTCTGATCTGATTTCTAGAGTTCCCAATTTGAAACTTTCAATAGAACTCCCCCGTGAGTGTTAAATTCTCTTATACTGCCTTATTTATCAGTGAAAATTTACCACCAAATCCTCTATCTTACAGAGTTAACTCAAGCTGTCAAGATGCCCGTTTCTGTTGTAGGCTGTACTGGCAATCTGAGGGGTGTCATCAAAAATGTAGAGATGCTCATCAGAAGACACCTGAATTTCCATCAGAATTTACACAATGGCTTATCCTGGCTTAGGGGTGACAGAATGAAGGCGGAATTGTGTATTCAAACCTTTTTATTTATAATTACCATCAAGTAGGCTGGGAATTTTTAAGTATCCTTTCCCCTTTAACACTTTTCAAATCCATTGCTCAAAACCGCATTGCTCTCTACTTTCCATCGCTTGGGGTTTCAAAGCTCAGTTCACCAGGTGAGATGATGGCATCCTGACAGATAAAATGTTGAGACAGCCCTGCTGATGCCACACGTGAGGATAATTACCGACACTGCTCTGAGTACTCTTCTGGGTCTAACACCCCAGAGACATTCTCTCTGTGACTCCGGGACCCCAGGCTGTCCCTGCTGCTTCTACTGGATACAGCTGAGCCCTGATCTGCATATGGCACTTCCTAGTCCACTTGCTCCAGACAAACTTTCTATCGTGCTGTACAGAACTTGGTTCTCAAACCCCTGCGAAGACCTCAGATTTAAATACGATTGTTATATCCACAAGCTCTATGATGAGAAATATATTCACAGAATCACACAGTATTTCCAAGGCTTGTCTTGCTGAGATAGGCTTCTCCAGAGAGCTGTTGTTTTTGTAACAATTATAGAGAAAGTGAGAAAGACCCTTCACAAGTTGCAAGATAATTTAATGGGAACAGATCTCAAAGACGACAGTTACGCAAATTATATTTAACACTCATTTTGAATGGCTACAGAGAGAAATTCATTTCAAAAAGGAATACACCCTGTTGGCCATTTGCTGTATAACGCTTAAAAGAAAATTAAGCCCAGAATCTGATGTGCCCTGGTAAAGGCGTCACAAAGAAGCACCCCAACTGCACTTGGACACGACCCTCAGCAGTCTGGTTTGCTTGACACATTAAGGCACAGTGGACACATGAAAGGGAATTCAGATGGGACAGCTAAAATATTTCCTGAAAGCAAAAGCAAAAAAGAAAGAAAGAAAAGAAAGCAAAGCAAAAATGTCCCTTGGAGAATGTATAAAAACCAGGATGTATTATTTAAGCAGGCAGAAAGAATCTGGCATGCTGAACACAGGATGTGCAAACTCTCAACACTGATCTCACCACTTCAAATCAGTGATGCTGGCAACACCATCAAATTATAAAACAGAGCTGAAAATGGAATCACAGAATGCTATATTCCACAAAACACTACGACTTCTGATGAAAAACAAAACACTCCAGTTTATTTTTCAAGACCGTTATAAAAGAAGTGACAAGTTCAGAGAATAAACAAACTTTATTTTATAACAGTATTACAGGAAGCAAAATATCATTTAATACAACTTGAAGCTGCTATAAATCTAATCTGGCATCATAACTATACAAAGGGTCAAAAGCAAGAGGAAAATGTTCAATACAGTTAATAAGTCCCTATCAGGTCTCTGGTATCAGCTTTAAATGGTTTAACTTTCTTACAACCAACCAAACAACCCTTGAGGCCCTTACTCCTCTCCACAGCATCTGCAAACCTGTCTGAGTCATCAAGGTATCTGAAAGAGATAGACCTGCTCAATAACAAAAGGTCAGTTTTACATATAGACAAGGAGGTTTAATAAAAAGCAAGGGAACTAACCTCGTGTTCAGATAATGGAAAGAATCGGAATTTGGAAATGTTAAGAAAGAAAGCACGAAGGTTTTAAGCTGCCTGGCTCTTTTAGTAGCAGGGAAGAAACAGCTTTCTCTCTCCTCCCTCCTGCTCTGGAATGCTGTTGAAGAGCATGTGTTTGAGAAGCACCGGCATGATGGTGCCACAGGTCTCTGAACACAGTGCATGGTCAGTGAACTTCGTAATTGTCCAGTCTGGAGAGTCTCTGACTTTTCACGAAAAGTAAAGAGTCACAGAACTGGAAAGTCAAAAGGGTTCAATATAAAACACGTTACAGTGAAATTCTCAAACATTAGAAAATTTTCAAGATGTAAGAAATGCTTTTAATTGGTATTAATATTTCTGAGAGTAAATTTACTGCAATCTGAAAATTGTAAATATTTACTGTAAAAATTCAATAGAAAATGTGGAAGAAGGAAAACCACTACCTAAATTAGTCAGTTTCCTTTCTGCAAAACAGCACCTGTTCAAGTGAACAGCACCTTACCAGCCCAGGCTGGCTTTGTTCACTGTCATATGAGCAAATGAGTCATAAAAAGCAGGTAGTTGCATACAAAGTAAATAAAAAACAAAAACAAAACCCCTTAACTTGGGGAAAAAAGAAAGAACCAAGACTATTTAGAAGTGGTTATAAAATAAAGTAACATATTAAAAATGTGCAGAAAACAGTGTGGACCAGAGCTGTTAAGATAAGGTCTGACATTGGCATTTTAACTCTTCAGGCTCTGGTCATTGTTACCAGTTGTAGCACATATTTGCTGGAATAGTGGTGTGGCGCTATGTCTTGAAATGGTCAAAAATTTTCACGTTCACGGAGTTGAATGTTGTTTACACAATGACGTTCTAGGAGAGAAAAAAGGAGACAAGGCTCAAATATTTCAAAAACAGACTGAAAAAATGATAAGCAATCAACGTTTTCAATGAAGTAATCAGTTATCTGCTGAGATCTAAGTACAGATGTTTACCAGAAAACATGTATAAAAGGCTACTCCAAACTCTGAGGCCTTAACATTTCTGGAGTATTGACAAGCGCACTACAATTGTCAAACCTGACTACTTTGCACAAGACTTAATTAACATAAAGCAGGCAAGTCATATGATACAGTGGTTCCCTCTAACCTACTGCTTTACTTTCCATAGTTCCAGCTACCCATGGCCAAAAACATCACATGGAGAATTCTAGAAATAAACAATTCCTGAGTTTTACATTGAGCACATTCTGAGGAGCATGATGAAATCTCACCCCACTGCACACCCAGGTAGGGAATCACCCCTCTGTCCAGCAGATCCACACTGCACAAGCTGCCTGCTCATCAGTCACTCAGCAGCTGTCCTGTTACCGGTTGACTGTCACAGCAGCTGGTGTTCAAGTCACCCTTTTGTACTTTCTACCAAAGCACAAGAGTGGTGATGCTGGCAATTACTGTTAGCTTTAAGTGAAAAGGAGACCACCTCCTTTTCACTTAAAGCATAAGCCCAAGAAAGCATAAGCCCAAGAAAGGAGATTGGACGTGTTTCTCCTCTGGTTTTAAGAAAGGGTGGGTTTGGGATGGCCAGAGTATGTGTTAAAGATATCACTGGGGCTTGTATGGTGAACAGGCTGAGGGCAGAGAGCAGTAGGGGCAGAAACACTAACCAGGAGCCAATATAGGGATCTGGGCTGTCTAAGATGGCAAAGGTCAGGTACTATCACCAGATGGTGAGGACCAAACTTGAGGGAAGTAAGTCGGGTAAAGAGGAAAATCTGAGAGGCACCACTGAAGAAAAGGAGTCCAGAGTGGATGATTAAAAAGGACAGGTCAACAAGATCATAAGGGTTACAGTTCAAGGCTTTTTTTAAAAAAAGATGGAGACAAGATGCAACATGTATATGAACCAATGGACAACAACAAATACACTTCTTATGTATTGCAAACACACATACTACTACAAAAGAGAGAATATTGAGTTTAGGGCTTGAGTAAGGAAGGCATTGGGAATAGGGCTGTGAAAATTTGGCAGTCAGCATGTAAGGATCTAACTGAAACCAGTGGCTAGAACTAAGTCTCAGTTGAGTATAAGGAGAAATGAAAGACAGTCTTGAGGAAGCCTACAGTCAAATATATGTAGGTAGGAGAGAGGACTGAAAAAAAAATAAATAACCTGTCCCTATAAGAATTTAAGAAGGCAATTGTTTCATTTTCTATTTCAGGTTAGTTGGAAATTTTGGCAATAAGTAATTACAGAGGACAGTGGAGAGTAGTAATTAATGTCCTTTCCGAAAAATACCGATCCCAAAGCCAATCAGAATGTACACTTTTTGTTAGATAAAATTAAGTTTTGTTTTAATAAACAAAATCCTAGTTATTCAGATGATATCATACCAGCATCTTGCTTATTCAGGAGAGATTAATCAAATTATTGTTTTCCACCCTGTTGTCTGCCTTAAGCTATTTTATTACTCATTGGAAAAAACACAGTCATTTCGTCTGTTAGTAATAATGACAAGAAATGTGGGGATGACACAGAGAAACTGATACAGCTTTCCATCAAATTGCACTGGGAGTTATGTTAGGCAGGTAGTTAGACATCAGCAGGTTCAAAGGACAAAAAGGGTGGGATCCAAAATAGCATTCATTGCCAGTTAAGGAACAGAGACCTCAATGTGTAATAGATTTATAATCATCTGTTAGGTCTCAGACCCAAAGTGACCCCAAGAGCACAGTAACATCTTAATGGCACTATGCACATTCCTTCTTACACCTGGCCACCTGACTAACACCACAATGAGGCACACTGCATTCCCAGCTGCCATAACGCACAGTTCAACGACAGCAGGAAAGGGAATGTTTTTTAAAGACCCTCTTGCCTTGGGCTGGGGCCTGGTTTAAATTTAAAACTTATCTTTTGTGAGTTCCTTACATGATTCAAGCCCCTGGAGAAATAATGAACACCCAAAAAGTACAGGAAGACATTGTGCAATTCCAACATAAAGCCTAAATACAATGATGATAATCATCACAACAACCCAGTTCCTCGGCACCCCAAGAGTAACTCTTCTGTGCATAAAATTATACCCAAAGAGCACTGGATGCAGATGCCTTCCTGGCACTGCCTGCCTTCTCCCTTGAAGGTGTAACTCTGTATCAAAAACTCAGTAAATTTTACCTATACTTCTGCACAGCCACCTATGTGTCTTGACAGTTTTTTCATCAAGGATACAAAGAGCTAAGGAACAAGAAAGTGAGGGGTTGTTCAATTCCTTGCTGCATCAGGACCTGACTTCCCAGTGAGAGGTCATGTAAGACCTTCAGTCATACTATCTGTTCTCCTTCAAGAACTGCTGTCTGCTCTGCTAAGCAAATATATACGTGAACACTGCTACCATTTTGCTTAGATTTTATTAGAAAACAAGCTCCTTAACCCTTGAAATATTATTTTGGATACAAATTAGTTTGAATACAGTATTTTAAAGATTTAAGATATGACATGTGCCTGTACCAAATGCCCACAGTAAATGTAATCATATGTTGCAAACATGAACTAAGAAAAAAATTAACAATAATGAAAATGGGAAAGAGGCTCTAGAGACGAAGGGTGACAGGTGGGTGGGGAGGGAAGGGAAACAAAAGAATCAACACGTGTGAAGTACACAGACCTCCTCCCCACTGCAAACATGTACTAATAAAAATAAAAATAAATAAATGAAATGTAAGTAGGGGAAAAAATTCCTGTGTCAGCAGTGCCTGAAACTCCGCTACAAGAACAGCGTATTGGGTTGTAGTCACCATTTTCTCTAGATTTTGTGTCACATTATTTTAAACATGTTTTCATCAGAAATACAAATTTTACTTCGCATTGAGTCATAAAATTGTAAAGGAAAGCTAAAATTAGACTTATTTCAAAGATATTACTGTAAACCAGGAGTATGTAAGAATAGAAGATAGATCTTGAACTTAAAAAAAGATCCTTGAAATTTACTGAGCTAGATATAGAGAAAAAGCTAACATTACCCACATAAATTCCAATGTCACTATTCCTACTTAATCACAGCTACCACTAGGAAGTATAATGTACCGTACTGACTTTTTTCTGGGAATATTGCAAATGATAAATTTGATGTGCTCTAGGATTCCACAAATATCTATAAGAAACTCAGTATGAGATGGCTTTTTATAGACTAGATTTTGGGTCTAAATGATTGATTACGTGTCCCAACCAAACAGAAAACTAGGCAGTGTATCTTCACTCAGAAGTTGAAAAAGTTTCAAAGACTATTTCTTTTCTTTTCTTTCTTTCCGGTTTAAATTTTACCTCAGACTTGTAGATATCTGGGAAACTTTACTCTGTCAATATATACTGATGGGCATTAATTATAAACATTAATTCATCCTGCTTTCACTTGTACAGTGTCTCAAGATTTGCCTTAAGTTTGCATAAAGCCATAGCTGTGAAGTATATTCTTCATGTGTTAGAATCGCGCTTATCAAAAAATACCCTGGACTATACAGCATCAATAAAACATTTTAACTGTTTTTCCTACTCTCTAGCCTGTGTCCCCCTCTTTTGGCCAACATGAGAATAGGTCAGTCTTCTCCAATCTCAAGCCCAGATTTATATGCAAATGCTTTAAAGGCTAAGGGCTGGCTGCTCTCTGCCTCAGACCCTCATAGAGAGCTCTTATTCAACTCAGTGCACCCAGTGCAACATGTGGGGAGAGGGCAAAGTCTGTGCAGAAGTGCTATGATTTCCTCTGAAAAGCACAATCTCAGTTTCCAGGAACCAGGACCTTGCATATGGATCTCAATTTGGAGAGTGCACTATTCCAGAAATTGATTCAGTAAATTGATTTTAAAATGCTTGTCTGTTTGCTGCGGTTTGCACCTATTGTTGGGCACGTCCATGTGTAAACCCCTTCCTAGGACTCGCTGGTGAGGTCCAGCTCCTAAGCAGGGTGTGAAGATGCTTCAATGCCTGTGTATACGTTTTTCTTCTTACATCTTTGAAATTGTCTGTAATTTACACTTAACACACATCTCAGCCTGGACTGACCGGCCACACTGCAAGTTCAGCTGTCACCAGTGGGTACGGCTACAGATGAGCCTAGGGTTCCACTTCTTCTCATGCTAACTATTCTGATGCACAAGTGGGCCAAGATATTCTTGGAATATAATCTTCCTGAGGACAAGAGTATCTTAAAGTTAGCATATGAACGAAATTGTTAATTAGGTGTCATAGCAAAATTCTCTTCTACCACTCACTACCCACAACATTTACATGTTCAAAACTATTTCTGGACTGCCTACCAGAAAAGTTCTTGAACAGGAATGTATAACTTAGCTTTACAGATGTTATTTTATGATTCCTAAATTTAAGTGAACTCCAGCAAGTTAATGTCTAGGATCTCTCCATGCCTTCCTGTGGTATAGAAGAGTTTGTTTCCAGGGCAGGTTGTAAGACTTTGTCACTTACAGAACCAGCATGAACCATTTGTTCTTTGAAATCAGATAGAATTAAATTTCTGCTTAAGAGATGTGGAATTAGAGACACAGATGGAGGATCTGAGTGGAGATCCAGGCAGTTCGAGAGTGGAGAGCACCAGGCCTCTGGACAAGAGCCATTTTCATGGAGCTGGTGGAGCTGATACAGAGATTACTAAAATCCTGGTAAACCATTAGCCCTGCATTGGCAGAACCAAGCTCTGGCTAATCGCAAACTGCTCATTTACATGTGCACTTGACGAACATCACCTGTCCTTTGAAGAGCAACACAGACCTGCTGACTTCCCGGTGATGATTCTCCATTCAGGAGCAGGAGTTTTACAAGAAAATCAAATACGGTGCATTTTTATTTTACTCTATTTA